GGTCTTTGATCCATTTGAAGTTGATTCTGGTGCAGGGTGATATATAAGGATCTAGCTTTAGTTTTCTACATGTAGTTAACCAATTTTGCCAGCACTATTTACTGAAGTGGCTGTCTTTCTTCCATTCTATTGTTTTAGCTCCCTTATCGAAGATTAGATGGCTATAGGTCTGTAGGTTCCAATAGAAGTCTTACAATGAATTGTTTTCCCCATTTCCCCCCCATAAACATAATCTTCTATAATTCTCTGATCAAGGTATAATGTATACTTATGTAGATATTCAAAATGAAAGCCCCTTAATGCTACTAAATTTTTTTAGTTATTTGTTTAATAATAAAAGTAAAAGAAGGATAGGTTTTTCTGTTTACTTCTCTTTTATTTTGGTATTTTACAACATGAATTTTTCTTCAGTGTTGAAGCAGCAGTGTCATCTTAAAGGCAGTGAAGGGTAATATGCTCACTACCACTCTTTAGATGGCTATTCTAACACATGCTTCCTTTTTTTTGTGTGGGGGGGTCTGGTTGTGGGGCCTGAACTCTGGGCCTGGGCACTGTCCCTCAGCTCTTCAGCTCAAGGCTAGCGCTCTACCATTGAGCCACAGCACCACTTCCGGCTTTTTTTCTTTTTGCTTATGTGGTGCTGAGGAATCGAACCCAGGGCCTCATGCATGCAAGGCAAGTGCTCTACCACTGAGCCACCTTCCCAGCCCACATGCTTCCATTTTTGACTCATACTTTCTCCTACTGTTTGTATCCATAGTTCCAAATCACTGTAAACCTGATCTGGATAAAATTACAAGATGGATGTAGTTTTCCCTATTGGTTTTCATAAACAATACTTGATTATTTATTATTTATAGCAATTATGCTATAAAAATTCTATGTCAGGGGCTGGGAAGGTGGCTCAGTGGTAGAGTGCTTGCCTTGCAAGCATGAAGCCCTGGGTTCGATTCCTCAGCACCACATAAACGGAAAAAGCCGGAAGTGGCGCTGTGGCTCCAGTGGTAGAGCGCTAGCCTTGAGCTGAAGAGCTGAGGGACAGTGCCCAGACCTAGAGTTCAAGCCCCACGACCAGCAGAAAAAAAAAGAAAGCTAGCCTTGAGCTGAAGAGCTGAGGGACAGTGCCCAGACCTAGAGTTCAAGCCCCACGACCAGCAGAAAAAACAAAAACCAAAACAAAACAAAATTCTATGTCAGAATTTCACAAAGGCAGGAAAGTCTTGTCTTTGCTCCCATTCTTTCATCTTCAAAGATGGTTGTGATGCTTCTCTTTGTAGCAGTGCTGGGGTGCCCTGGGTTTCCCAGTGCTTTCTCTGACTTAGTCTCTACTCTCTGACTGTGGTCCAAGAGCATCATTCTCACTGAGCTTAAAAAGAATGAAAGACAAGGAATAGGGCTAAAGAAAAAAATCTGAGAAAACCAGTGTGATACTTTAAAGATGATTTTCTGCATCTTTTGAGAGACCTCTCTCAAAAGCATTCAAGAATAATAGAAAAGCCATTTGATAAACAAAAATATTCTCTGTTGATCTAGTGGCAGTGAGAGGGATGTTTGTGCCCTTTGTTAAATTTCTAGACAAACGGAAATAAAACAGACCCTTCCTATCAATGATGTTAATAATGTTGATGCATTCACTGTATACAGAAAAAAAATTCAATATGCCAAATTAACTTAATACTATGAAATAGAATGAAAAGATGGCTACTTAAATTTTATTCTCTTATTTTCCTTAGTGAGAAGCTGGATGGAAAAACTAAAGGACAAGGTAAGAAAAGTCTTTTTCTTTGGGGTTATCTTGAAGGGCATGTAGTTTTGTGAAACCAAATGTCAAGTAGGGGTGAGGCTTAGTTTATTCTGCTCCTGGTGATCTGTCCAAAGATACAGGGCCTAACAAGAAAGATCTTCCCTTTCCGTTCTCATGTAGAACATACGAGACACCTTATTCATTGGAGCATTATTTATTCTTACAGAAGTTAGAATTTTTCTTTGTTTGATATGCTCCATTAGACAATATCTTGGAATTCTAGGAAATTTCAGTAATGTTATCCAGCTCTTTCTGGCATCACTTGTTCCAGTATGAGACAAAAATTATTCTGCATATGTAGCTTATTGTTGTTCTGCTTCTAAATAATATTAATGAGGTGACTTGAATGGCCAACTATGGAAAAATATTTTCTTATGGTTGTATTAATTCTGGCTACATAATGATTGATAATATTAATTCCCTTCCAGGTTTACATTTTCTTTTTCTTTTGACTTTCAATCCTAAGTTTTCACTTTTGGTTAGTTGCAATTTTAAGCTGGAATTACTCATAAAAATATCGATAAGAGTCCTGAATTCCTGAGGTAGAGATGTCAGATTCCATTATCATAGCCCAGCTCAGAGTTAACTGGAGCTTTAAGTTAAATGGAAATCTTTTCCTTTTTTTGGGGGGGTTCGGTCATGGGGCCTGAACTCTGGGCCTGGGCACTGTCCCTCAGCTCTTCAGTTCAAGGCTAGTGCTCTACCACTTGAGCCACAGCGCCACCTCTGGCTTTTTTCTTTTTGCTTATGTGGTGCTGAGGAATCGAACCCAGGGCCTCATGCGTGCAAGGCAAGTGCTCTATCACTGAGCCACCTTCCCAGCCCCTACTATATTTTTTTTGTTTATAGCTTTCTGTATATTCTTTATTATTCAAAGTTAGTTTACCCATTTTCAATTATTACTATATATTTTATTAGTTTAATGTTAAAGTATAAAAGAAAACACTGGATTATAATTAAAATTATATAAGTATATCAATACTCTTATTTTTCTGCTTTTCAGGAAATATTAGCATATAGATAGTGTTTCAGGCTGAAATTATGTTCATGTATGTTTAAAGTGGTGTTGGAGCTTTCAAGTTGTTGAGGTCAGCGGAGGCCATTGTGGTACATGTGATGGATTTGTTTTACAAATGTACCATGATCATTTGATGGACCGAGAAACACTGAGGGCGAAGCAAAGCTCAAAAGCATAGAACTGAATATATATTTATGTTGATGATGGTTTTTTATAGTTCAGGAGAAAATATAATATGATGAAATAATGATAATATAATGAAAATTAAACTAACTTTGGCATGCTAATGTAGAAATCTGAATGTCATCTTACTATGGAAAGTATCCTGGGTCATGAGAAAGGATGAGAAAAAGAACTAAGTAATAGGTGGTGGCATGTAGCTTGCTTTGGAATTTGATATTGCAAAATTTATTACAGTATATATGTGTATGTGTGTGTGCATCTCTAGATAATTATATATTATATATGTGTGTGTATCTTCAGGTAATTATATATATATGTATATATAGTCATCATCTTTGGAAACTATTTGGGCATGTTAACTATTATCTCTATTGGTGATAGTTGCAGAATCCCTTGGAAGTAAAAACTACACTACATATTTGGGATATCTCAGTTTAGTTTCATTAAATGCTCTAATACTGAGTCTCAGCTACATGGACTCTAGAAAAAGTTTGGAATTATTCCTTTTGTTGTTGTTTATCTTTTCTATAGTAAGATTAAGATTAACTATTAGTAATAGATACCTTCCATGACAATAGCTAACCGAAGAGGGAGGTTTGTTTTTCATTTATTAATATAGAGTTGAAAAGTCAAGGGCTAATGGGGAGTGAGGTAGTGACAGGGGCTCAAGTTGCTTCTATTTGGTGTTCAGTCCACTATTTGTGACCTTTCCAAGGTCATCTTATGGTTGTGGATGGCAGTTCCACCTTAGGTATGTTCACAGTATAATTGTAAATGAGGAGAGAAAAAGAGGCTAGCAATGTTCTTTTCTTTTCTCTGTCTCTCTGTGTCTCTGCCTTTGCCTCTGTTTCGGTCTCTATCTCTCTGGCAGTAGTAGAGTTTGAACTCAATGCCTCATGCTTGCTATGTAGGCACTCTACCACTTGGATCAACACCTCCAATCCTTCCTTCTTAAATGGTGATTAAGGCATTTTGTCATTCTTAAAGGGAGAGAAAGAAAAAGAAAGGACCCATTTAAAGAGCATGCCCCAAATTTTCATGTGTCACGAACATATTATCTTCTTGGGGAAACTTATCACTTCCTTACCTTCCTAAAAGGTAAGGAAGGAGAAATAATCTATATGATGTCTCCATCCCTAAACTGGAAGCTTCCTAGTTGTATAGAGAAAGGAAAAAATGAATATTGAAGGGCAATCACCTTCAGTAACTTTAACATTCCTGGTTAAGTGTCTAAGTTGGTAATGCTTTGTAGGCAAATCTTTTCTGGACTATTTATTAATACGTTTCTGCATCAAAACTGTGTTTCCACATTGAAGTTATATGGAAGTTTAAATTGTTTAGTAAAGACTAGCTTTGGACTGGAGGTGTGGCTTAAGAAGTAGAGTACTAGCTGTGTATGAAAAAGCCGAGCAAGTGCTCAGTTTACTTGTGCTTTGAAATCAAGGCAGATGCTACCACACAATGTGGGGAAGGAGTGTGTGTGTGTGTGTGTGTGTGTGTGTGTGTAACCTGAAAAGAGTCACATATTTTGGAGATTCATGTTGTTGGTGTAGGATGAAGTTGTATAGCTAGACAAGACCCACCTGGGGACTGATCAAGTTGATTTTCTAAAAGTTGATCTTCTGGATGTACACCTCTCAAAAGCCTAATAGATGGCTTAAAGGTGGTCATTCATCATGGTTTGCACATACATTCACACAGTTTATATACACTGGAAATGTTGATTTTAAAGAATCCCACATTCCTGGTGAGAGCACCATGATTTCCTGTTATCAAATGTTTCCCTACATGGAAAACTATGGAGTTCTTAGAAGCCATAAGCAGATCTGGAAGAAGTTTAGAAAAAGCTGAGGCTTCTACAAAGTGTATTAATTTGTTGAAAAATGACTGAGCTTTTTGTGGGGGGTGGGGAAATAGAATGCTGATGAAAATGCTATTATTCTAAAATTTTTCCAGCTTTTGCTTTAATTTAAGAGTCTGGGAGCAGGGCTGGGAAGGTGGTTCAGTGGTAGAGTGCTTGCCTTGCATGCATGAGGCTGTGGATTTGATTCTCAGTACCACATAAGCAGAAAAAGCCAGAAGTGGCACTGTGGCTCAAGTGGTAGAGCGCTAGCCTTGAATTGAATAGCTGAGGGGCAGGGCCCAGGTCCAGAGTTCAAGCCCCTGACTGACAAAAAGAAAAGAAAAGAAAAGAGTCTGGGAGGCAGAACTGGAAACTGAGCACAGGCAGAGGGTGCTGTAGTTTTGTAATGTCTCATCTGTTCTTTTGATTCAATTCTGGACATGTTGGGAAAATGTTGGGAAAGCATCAGAACCTGCAAACTTCAGCGTATTTTGGAAATTTTTATTCTGTGTCTCTTTTGTCTTTGGATCATTCTGAAAGATACTAGGGAATAGTGTGTGTTACATTAGAATTTTAAGAAACAGTCAAATAACAATTACCTAAAGATAATTAGAAAAAGAAAGGACAAAAGATAAATGAAAAAAAGACATGGTCACATAAATGGCCAGACTTATGGTCTTCATGCCTAGCAACGCCTTGCTACTTATTTCAGTTTTTATACGTTTTTCATACCCCTGTAGCTCATAGGAGTCTTACTGGTCAAGGTGCAGGGATCACCTTTAGTACAATGGCCTTGCTCTCAGCTTTGTGTGGGTCTTGAGTTAATTACTCAGCTCAGGGTTATATGGAGATCCTGCTGCTTTCTTAGCACTGAGATATCCACAGTAACCTTTGAGGAAATGAAGACCAGTTTGATATCTCCAGGCTCTTCTGGAGATTCTGGTGTTGTTGCCAATGATCTTATGCTCTTTTCTGCCACTGATTTTCTTTCAGATGGGGTCCATGCACAGTTCCACTGCAACCTCCAACTTTGGTCTTGTTCTCTGGGCAGATTATCTTATTCATGGAAATCAACTCATCCACTTTATGAGCATAGTCTCCCTTGTACCCATGTTTTCAAAGCCTTTGCTCCAGCATCTAACATGAGTCCTCTTTCCTTTGCAGGCCCTTTCTTCTATGCTTCCAGCTTACTGTAATGCAGGAGAGAAACAGAAAGAGAGAGAAGAGACAGAGACAGACACAGAGAGAAACAGAGCGACAGAGACAGACAGAGAGTCAGCTTTAGAGAGAAACAGAAAGAGAGAGACAGAGACAAAGAGACAGTGAGAGCCAGCTTAGCGTAATGCAGGCAAGAAACAGAGACCGACAGAGAGCTGGGAAGGTGGGGGGAAATAGCGAGGGGGAGGGAATAATGGCTCTCTTTTTACCCTCCAAGGAACACAGTATTCCAGAGAACACTTCGACCCTCTTCAAGTTTGACTCAGGCTATTTTCAGTTTATAGCACCTTAATAGTCTTGGCATTCTCAGAAGCTCGCTTCATCCATCTTTAATACAAATTATATTTCTGTCACTAAAAACTGATGTTGACAAATACGTGTAAGCAAGTAGCTGGAGGGGCTGCTAGTAGTTCTAGCTGATATATTTTGACCTTTACTCCTAAGTATTTGTCATATCTCTTTTTCTGTTGTCTTTTCCTCATAAAGCAACTGTGTTCTAGGTTCCATTTTGTTTTCTATCAAATCAGACAGGACGATTCCAAGCGTCTGCAGACCAGCTGCCCTCCAGCAGAAAGGAGGAACCCGGGCCGGTGGTCTGTTGTATGTCCTGATTCATGTCTCTTCTTTTCTTCAGGCTGGCTACATGTCAGGGATGCTTGTGCCCGTAGGAGTGGGTATAGCTGGAGCCTTGTTCATCCTGGGAGCGCTGTACAGCATTAAGGTTATGAATCGCCGAAGGAGAAACGGCTTCAAAAGGCATAAAAGAAAGGTATGGAACCAAGAAGAGCAAAACCTAATCAGTCTCAGAACATTCTTGGCTTACCTAATTTGCTTAATAAAGCACATGGGGTTTAATGGTGCATGAAGAGTGCTGACGTGCCCAGTGGTTTGGATGAGCTACTGCAGCTGCTCTGTCTTGGCTTCATTTGTTACTGTCTCTTAAAATATGGGCCTGCTTTCTTCACTTTGTTCTGCAGCAGACACAGTTTAATGCTTTTCTGTTTTTCTTTCTCTAGCAGAGAGAATTCAACAGCATGCAAGACCGAGTTATGCTCTTAGCCGACAGCTCTGAAGATGAATTTTGAATTGGACTTCGGTGTCATTCGGATAGTCAATGACATTCTTAGTTTATTTTGATTTGAGGGGGCAGAAGAAAAAAAAAAGAACAATTTCTTGCTCCGTCGCTGCTATCAGGCTGTCAGTCCTACTATGTGCTGGATAGTAGATTTTTTTTCTTCTTATACTGAGCAGAAAAGGCATGCTGCAAGCTAACTGTGAACACACAGTGTTTGGTTATTCTGTAGTGAATTTCCCATCACCGTGGGCTACAATTTATAAACAGAACATCTATGTTAAGTAGGAGTAGTTGGGCTAGGTAGAGTAAATACTTTGTATTTTTCCATTGTCCTTTCCTTGGTTTTGCCTTATATGTATTAGGTCTACTGGCCATTGCCTTTGAGGCATGCTTGTCTTTGAAGTAGAAATCTTAACAAAGAATAACTACTTGTGATCACATGCTATCTTCTTGGGATTATGGCTTGTGAGCTATGGTTCATTCTATATTTGCATCCAAACTACCATCAACTTAGCATGGAAACTTACTTTGTTGAGCTCTCTCAACACAGAAGGATTATAAGCAGATTTGTATATATATCTTGCATTAAATACTTTAGCTTCCTAGTTTTATTAGTTTCACCTTCTATTAAATTCACGTTGCTGGCAAGGAAAAAAAATGCACCAGAAATAACACATTAAATTAACTCTCAATCTTCATGTATGCTTGCTTTCTTAAGTAGCATGATTTGAAGTCCAAGAGGTCTATCAACAGTGTCTTACATGTTTGTTGTTAAAAGATATTCTTTCTGTGTACCATATGACCTTGCCAAAACATATGGAACAATCTAGAAGGAGCGGGGATGGATGAACTCCCAGATAATTTATCTGTGCCATTTGGTTCTATGCCGGCATAGCCACAAACATGAATAATTCAGGGGACTACTTTTCCATGTCTGTGATTGTGACCATGGAATGATGAGGCCACCATTGGTTATTTTGGGGCTTTACTAGCAAAACAGACATTCAATGGTAGAAGCAGGCCCAGTGGCCAGTTCCCTGTGTACAGAGGGGCGTGTGGAAAATCAGCTAATTTCTGGGTAGTCTACCATGGGGAGGATAGATTGAATTAGATGCTTTCTCATTTCCTGTGGAGTATAATCCCCTGCACTATACTCAGTAGAGCTTCTGTGTAGTCTATTTGATTCTGGGCATATGGAACCTGTTGTGTTCTGGGATAGAGACTTGGTTCATCTCCATGGATGGATAAAAATTAGTAATAATACCGTTACTATGGAGAACTTGTTCAGATTCATTACAGCCTGTTCTACTATAAAAAGGGCAAACTGTGTTATTCTTCCTAACTACAAGGTAAGGTAGAGCATATAGGTTTCTCTTTTTCCATTTGACTGAAGATGGGTCTGAAGCTGAGAAGTTGTACCCATGGGGAATCAGCCTGAGAATTGTATTGGACACAAAACCACATGTCCTGCCTTCAATTCAGTGCCTTTCCCACATGTTTTAGATGAAGCAGTGACATTTCAGTTCCTTCTCTAAAACCAAGGTCCTTAAGAATTAGAGGTCAAGGAACATTTGGTATTAATTTCTTTCTTGGTTAAGTGAAGCATCATGTTTTTCTTGCACAAATTCTCTTATACAACTTCATTCCTTCTGTGTGAAAAGTACCACCTCTAGGAAACTAGTAGAGAGAAGCTCCCAGATTCATTCTTTAATGATAGTTGGCTCACAAGAATGTTTCCAACAGGTATTTTTTTAAAAAAATATTTCTTACTGAGAGAGTAAGAAAATGTGTAAAATGGAAAAAGAGAAATAAAAAGTTGTAGATAGACAAAGGAAAAAAAGAAAAACGAAAACTGGTAAATAAGCTCAAGGCTACACTTTAAAAATAGAACTCAGACACATATTCTCATGAGTGATTTGGCATTTTGTGAATACAGCTATCCTGGTATTGCATAAAGGATGTTCTTCCTTATCTAAGAACAGCCTTGGCACTATGTGATCCTCAGGTTAGGAGCAAGTTAGTACGAGGTGTATATCTTGGCAAGCTATTTGTTGAACATATGCATTGGGTTCATGTAATTGAGCCTCACATGGATGATATTGGTGGCTGGTAATGCTTAGCTTAGTCTGTAGCTCAATTAGGTCAATCCAATAGGTTGATGTTCAAATCACAGTACAACATACATGGGCTTTCATTTTTTAAGGGGGCTCTGAAGATAACATGTGTATAAATTTAGGCTTAAGTAGAAATGTCTCTGCATCCCATTTTGGCACACCTGGCTGTTTAAAGGAAAAGAGCTTACTTAGATCCTAGTAGATTTCAATATAAACCCACATAAACATGTGGATAAAGAAAATAAAGATTATTATTCAGCCTTTGAAAGAGAGAAAAAATCCTGTCACTGGGATGATGTGGAAGAACTTAAGAGGACATTATGCAGAGAAAAACAAACTGTTCACAGAAAGGCAAACACTGCATGATTCCAACTGTAGTCCAATTCCAGAAACAGAGGTAGAATGGTGATTGCAGGGGTGGGGGAGGAAGGAGGAAGAGGGAAGGTATAAAGTTTCAATTATACAAAATGAATAGATTCTAGATAACTTTTGTAGAATATAATACCCAGAGTTAACAATACTGTACTGGGCACTTAAAATTTTATTGCAACAGTAGATTCCATGTATGTTCTTAACACAAGAAAAGGAGACAAAGCCCAGGCACTGGCCACTTATGACTATAATCCTAGTTACTCAGGAGGTTAAGATCTGAGGATCAAGGTTCAAAGCAAGCACAGAAGTAGAGCTATGGCTGAAGTGGTAGCACACCAGTTTTGAAGTTCAGGGACAGCAACCAGGTCCTGAGATCAAGACCCAGGCTTGGCACCAAAAAGAAGAAAAAAAGAAAAATAGACAAGATGAAGGACCCTGTGGGAAGAGACCCTTTTGCTAGTCCCACTATCCACAAAAATCTCACAGCCATAATGGAGACAAGAAGATTAAAGGAAAGAGAAAAGGTAGAAGCTCCCAGAAAAAGAATAGAAGGTTGGGATGGCGAGAAAAATGTTCCTTCCATATCCATGATGCCTTTTCCTATAATCAGAAGACAATAGTTTTCTTTTAAGTCATTTTATTTCCTCCCTCCCTCTCCTTTGTGAGCTGCTTCTTTTAGCAGCTACTGGCTTAATTTGTATGCAATATTTGGAGTTAATTAGTATCCCAGGGTAACATATTCCCTTAGCAATGCCTCAGCCCTGGCTGTAGCTCATAAACTCCCTCAAATGTAGTTTTCCAGAAACATTTTCTTAAAGTACCTGTATGTCTTAAAAATGTGGCAAGAAATGTAAAGCAGAGTTTCAGAACCTAGGAGGGGGCTGTAACTCAGTTACTCAGAGTTGGTTCTTCATTTCATTATCATTTTGTGGAGCTGGAGATTTAATTAGGGGCTTCATAATGCTAGATGGGTTCTCTACTCTTAAACTATACTTCCAGCCCTTGTCTAATTATTTTTTTTAGGGCTGAAATTTAAAAGTTAGAGTGTTAACAGAAGAAAGGAAATGAACTCATTATCTGACTCATGTCAGTGTAATCACTCTCTATATCACCTCTATAATAACAATAAAGTAAATTAATAATTAAAAAAGTTACAGTGTTATAAGGATAAAAGTTGGGCAACTGGTGGCTCGTACTTATAATCCTAGTTATTCAGAAGACTCAGATCTGAGGATTGAGGATCATGATTGGAACCAGCAAAAGCCAGAAGTGGAGGTGTGACTCAAGTGGTAGAATACCAGCCTAGAGCAAAAAAAAAAAAAAGAAAGAAACAAAAAAACAACAAAACCCACTAGAGAATGTGAGGGCATGAGTCCTCAGTACTGGTACAAATGCAAAAACAATGTTCCAAGGATGAAGACAACATAGAAACTATAAAGCAACTTAAGGCCCAGAACTTCTCTCTTGGTTTCTTCTGGTATCTTCTTCTTGTGGAAGTCCAAATGAAACCCCTTCTTTGGAATCACATCCATACCTTAGGGAGAGAAGAATCAAGTCATCCACAGGCATTGTGATTTCTGTGGATGTGAATAATCAGTGTTCCTACCAGCTGCCAAGAAACTAGCTCTTAGAAACAAGATATATTATTTAGCATGGGCTTCCAGCTGAATGACCTCTTGGCAAGACAGGCTTTGTTATGACCACAGAGAAATCTGAAGAGGCAGAAGAAAGAAATCTCTCCTTTTTAGGCTATGAGAAGGTATAATAACAAGGCAAGGAACAGGAGTGGAAGAAGATGGAAAGAAGACCGTAACACAAGGCCAATGTATAAAATCGTACAAATACTTTTTTGGCATAAAGTGTTACAATTGCTATTGATAGCCAGAGTCTTGAAAGGATGGATGCATAGAAAAATTGCTGAAGATGAGCAAGGAGAAGAATACAAATATGAAGATCATTGGCAGGGGAAGAAGAGACCATAAAGCTACATAAGTCTTTTTTCCCCCTCCCATCAAAGATAATTAGCCTATACTGGGTGGGAAATGAATATGGTTGAGAAGGAATTGAAGTACAAAATGGATGAAGAGATGAAAGATACTTGGTTAATTTAAGTGAGCTTGAGTTTGGTTAAATATTTTCCTTAGTTACAAGTTAAATACCTTCCTTAGTTTGAAGTCTTTCAAAGGACTGAATGTAAGCTTCCAGGAATAGGAAATAAATTGAAAACAAAACAATAGTATTGACTTAATAAAAATCACATATTTGCACAATGAGCATTCTTGAAAGACAAAGCCCAGGCACTGGCCACTTATGACTGCCATTCCTTTTGTGGCGCTCTAGGTCTGAGTGACTAAGATCTGAGTCATACTCTCAATTTGTAAACACCTTTTTGGTATAGTTATTAGATTGAGAAACTGAGGACAGACTAATGAGAGACATCTAATTATGTTACTTTGCTAATTATAAACCTTGGCAATCAACATGGTTGGGAACATCTTGTTTAATTTCTGCCTTCAGAAAATCCCTACAACATTTACTTTATAAGCCCCGATTACATTTACTCATAAGCCACTATTAAACAAATGCATTAGAAATACCTTATTTTGAGTAATAAGTTTATCTAACTCATTAAATCTACTAAGTGCATTTGGATAAAGAGAAAGGAAAGGGGAAAAAGGAAGGAAAGAAAAGAAAGAGGGAGGGAGAGACAAAAAGGAAGAGAGATTTCCTCTAGGAAATAGAAGTACAAAAAAATTCCAACTCATCTCCTCTGTTGTTCCAGTTTATAAGCACAGAAGACTATTGGGCGAACTCTGAAATCTTTTAATGGGTAGAGAAAACATCCTACTTACCCCCTCCAAAGTAGCAGTAAGACAGGTAATAACTGTAATACGAGTATACCACAGAAGAATATAAACTATCTGTAATGGAGAACGTAAGTTCTTGAACTAATATTGTAGACTCCAAATCTGAAGTTCAAGACTAATGTTATGGAGAGGAGAAACATTTTGTGGGATGAGGGTGGAACCATGAACTGAGAAGGAATAGAAATAGAGGAATTATCTACAGAAGATGTTCAAAGTTACAGAAAGAGAATGTTAGCAAATGGCAGACAAAATGATACCCACTTGGGTTATTTTTTATTACCTTAAAGCTGTCCAGGTTA